GAAAATCTCTAAACTTACCATGTAAAAAGCCAGGTCATCTTTATCGAATTGATTCTGATAGATGCTTTGCCCATCCAGAGAGGTTTCCCATGACTAAAAAATATAGTTCAAAAGGAAGAGATGATCTAGTATTTCGTAAAGATATTTTCTCTTATGATTGGTTTAATGCACTAGAAAAAATGGATGTGTCTTCCTTACCTCCTATTGAGGCTTTCGACAGTATACTCAACAAATCCAAATGCTCAGAAAAAGCCTATAAAAGAGCACAAGAAGTATGGAAAGCATTTAATATGAAATCATTTCGAGAATATCATGACTTATACCTCCAACTCGATGTACTATTATTAGCAGATTGTTTGGAAGGATTTTGAAAATTAATGAAAAGTAAATTTGGTCTAGATATATTCCACTATGTATCCCTCCCTTCATTTGCAGAAGATGCTTTATATAAAACAATGGGACAAGAGATCGAGCTATTTACTGATGATAACATATATCTCTTCTGTGAAAAAGGAATTAGAAGTGGTATTACAATGGTAAGTAATCGTCAAGTTAAAGTTAACAATCCTCAATGCCCCCCTTATTTTGATAGCGAAGCTAGTATTAAGACACATTTAGATTCAGAAGAAGCAGGCCTGAAAGGACGCCATAACCATGACATAAAAAATCTCTTTACTTGGTTATTATATGTCTATGCCAATGTCCTATATACTGGAGCAATGATGCAATATATGTCAACCGGAGGACATAGATGGATAACACCTGAAGAAACTCCAGACCTTTTCGATAAAATTACCAAGTGTGAGATTCTGAAAGACGCATCTAAAGGCTATATTCTTGAGGTAGACCTTGACTATCCATATAAATTACACAAAGCTCATACTTTATATCCTTTAGCTCCTGAAAATATCGAGATTTCCAAAGAGGAAATGAGTGAGTATGGACAAGAGATTATTAATGATTTAAAACATTATACAAAGACCAAGAAACTCGTCCCTAATCTCAATAATAAGAAGAAGTATATAGTTCATTATCGAGCATTACAATTTTATATAAAGCAGGGAATGGTACTTAGGAAGATCTATCGTGATATAGAATTTGATCAAAGTTCATAGATGAAGCCTTTTATGGAAGAACTAATAAGATCTCGAGCTTTAGCTACGAATGATTTCGAGAAAAATATGTATAAGCTCTTAGGTAATGTTAACTATGGAAAAACTGTAGAAAATGTATGTAAATATCAAAGAGTAGACTTCATTAGACTGGAAGGAGAATCAAAAAAATTTAAAAGGTTAGTAGCTGATCTTAGTTACAAGTCTCATAGAATTTTAGCAGAGAATTTGGTAGGTATTTCTCGTCATCAAACAAAGGCTAGACTTAGTAAACCTATCTTTATTGGGATAACTGTTCTCGATGAAAGCAAAATCACATATATAATTTCTATTATAATGTTATGAAAGAACGATATAGAGATAATGTAGAGTTAGTATATACTGATACTAATTCACTCATCCTACTTATCTGAACTGAGAATGTATATAATGATATGGTAGAAATATATGAACATTTTGATTTTAGTGATTATAAACCAGATTACCCCGTATATCAAGCTCTCGGAAAAGAAAAAATTGAGTTGAATAAGAAAGTCCCTGATAAGTACAAGGACGAAAGTAGTGGTACTGCTATGTAGAAATTTTGTAGTCCAAGACCTAAGTTTTATAGTTATATTCTTGCTAATGGAAAAACAGATCGAAGAGCTAAAGGAGTACAAAAGGTAGTAGTTAAAAAGAATCTTACTCATGATATGTATGAAAATTGTTTAAAATCTCGAAAAGAATGCATGGTAATAATGCATAGATTAGGAAGTAAAGACCATATTATTAGACTTCTTCGTTCATCTAAAATTAGTATTAGCCCTTTAAATACTAAGAGGTGAATTTTATCAGATGGAATTATTACATTAGCCTTTGAGGATTGGCGTATTATTGCATATAAGAAAATGATTGGTAAAGGAATGTCCCATGAAGAAGTTAAAAAAAGAATGATGAAACAAGAGTTAAAATCCCAATATCAATAATAGATCAACTTACTTGCCTAAGTTGTGATATTTCTTTACGTATATTTATTTATAATTTTTTTATCTAAATAATAATATATATATTACAAAAAATGACATCAACTAAAGTAGACTCGAAAAACTATTGCTCTGCAATAAAAAAATCGCATTATCCCAATACCAAAAGGATATATGAAAAGCTAGATAAACTTGAGGAAAAATTCCATTTATTGGAAGAAAAAATAGATAATCTTATTGATAAAGCATTAGAGATTAAGTGGGAAATAGGCAATATAACAAAGACCTTATCACTAATCGATATCAATATCGAATAGTCCATATGTTTCAAAATTTTTTTTATACAGGATATAAAATAATTCTATTAATTTAATTAGCTTAAGAAACTCCTCATGTGGTACATGCTCTATTTTATTATTACGGGCATAACTTATATCCTGCTCATGAAGTAAAATTTTTCTAACAATAAATTTACCAAGAGATAAAATCTCAAAATTATCACCATACATTCCTTTTGTAACTAGCTTTTCTTTATATTTATTGATTTGTTTATTAATTTCGTTATTACTAGAGATCAACATATTAAGTAATAATTGAGTAAATATATAAAGTGAATAAAAATTTAATCTGTAATTAATTATTGAGATATAGATATAATTTTGTATAATAATCAAAATGACAGCACGAGATATGCTAACAGAATGCGATCTAAATTTTATTAATCAGGTAGAAACATCAGAAGACTAGTTAAAGTTATCAAAACTTTATTCAGAAAAATATTTGAGATGCTATTTATTAATACCTGGTTATGATATTAAAAACAAAGACTAATGGGAAAACTTCATATTCTATGTTAAAAATAATTTATATATGAGAAAACAAATAGCATATAATTCAGAATTTAGAGAATTTAAAAAACAATTAGCAAAAACTGCAATAATAATGTAGGAAAAGCAAGTTGACTTTACTATTTGCTTTTTATTCGTCATAAAAAGACGGTTCACACAGATAATCTAGTATATCCTGAATTTCATCTTCTAAAGATTAATAATTATTTGTAAGGTTAACGATATCTTTGCGAAACTCGGTATATAATATGGATGGTATATAATCCTTTATCATCTTAAGATATTCAATAATGTTTTTGATTTCAGAGGAAATATTTTTATGTTTATTTTCTTTATCCAAGTCATGTGTATAATTATATTCATCTTCAGTAGGCCAATATATTTTTTTGTAAATAGGTTTATATATATTGTGACACTCAAGACCTTCAAATTGATTTATTAATAGAATAAGATTAAAATTATTATTATATCGATAAAACATATTTCTATATCACTTCAGGAGAGATCGAACTCCTTCTGAACACCAGGTATAATTAACTATAAAAAGTTAAAATAAATGTTCTTCGTGAGGGATATAGTTAAAAATATTTTCAAGAATTTCAGGTAAAGCTAAGACATATTGAGTACACATAATTAAGAATAAATTACGCATTTTTTTTTCTCGCCAGATATAATTTCATTCTAAGATGACACCAAAAATAATCAGTAAAGATCCCGATACACAACAGTTGGAAAAGTCTATCAAATCAAGAACACCACCATCCCATTTAGCTAAAGAGGATATCGATTACATAATGTATGTCAAGGAATTAAAAGGTAGATTTAAAAAAATTTTGGAGTGGTATAGAATTGATATATAAAAGTGTAATAAAATGTGGAAGTCTGAGAACCCATACTCATATGCAAATTCAATCGAAGACGCGAACTTACCTAACTGGTACATCAATAATAG